GATAGTATTTGGAACTTGAGCCCTTGAGGTTGAATATAAACTTGAAACAGACTTTTGGCTAAGGGAGACAAAGGATTAAAAGGCCTTTCTCCCTTGTGCTAAGTGAAATATTATAGTTAAAGTGACTTTAATGTCAATTTGCAAGAATCTGAAAACAGATCTTATCCAGTAAATGACTACTACAAACACACAATATATTCCAAATGGTTTAATTTAACAAGTCAAAACCTTATCATTAAGCACTTGAGATCTTGATACATATTCAAGTTACACATCTAAAAGGTTTCCACTTTGCAAGCAAACATGGTAATGCCGACACCTATTTATGAAATCATGTAAAATGGTTATTCACACACCTCTCCCCACGACGGATGCTCAAGAAGCAACATTTTTCAAGGGGTTATTCAGGCAAATGACAACCACAGTTAAAACATTTGTGCTTTTCCAATGATTTGCAGGTAAATATGTGTGTGAGGCTGATGGATTTTGGACGAGCGCCAAAGGAGAAAAATCCCTCCCAGTCTGTGAGCCTGGTAATGGACGCATTTATAAAGACTCTTAGCTGACAAAGAGTAGATGGAGGATGGGCCAGTCTAGCTGGGGTAGGCAGACATGGAAGCTCAGCATCTGGTTTCTTAGACTAACATAATCCCAATAGTGTGCTTTCATCACCCCTTTGCTAGGTGTTAGTTAGCACTCATTCGATCATTCTTGACCTTATGACTAGGCAAGCATAAAAAAATTAAATGATTTCTTAAATTATCTGAAACCATTTATACATTTATAAACACAAATTCTCTGTAAAAGTGCTATTAACTTCATTATTTCCCTAAGCAATTGTTTTCAACATCTAGGTTTTTAAAACATTAATGCAATTTTCCTTTTAATAGTATTTTTTTAACTAGAATTGGCTCAACAATAGTTGAGAATGCTCTTTTAAAAATATTGAAAGGTAGTAATACACTCATTAGCCCCATTTTAGCTGGCTGAAATTTGTTTTCTAACCCTGTATTTGGCGGACATGCTGCTTCTAAGTTTTAATCAAAGTGTAAGACCATAAAAAGAAACATATGTTGCATTCCTAAGTAATTAGTTTGCAATAGAGACACTGTAAACTTAAATGTTTAGATGACTCAACCACACCAAAACTACAAATTTTAGAATCTGGGCTCTGGTTTTTAGTAGTTTTACAGTGAAGGGCAACAGTCATTTTGTAAATCATAATGTTCCTTCCATTAATCCCAGCACTCGGGAGGCAGAGGCAGGCGGATCTCTGTGAGTTCGAGGCCAGCCTGGTCTACAGAGCGAGTTCCAGGACAGCCTCCAAAGCCACAGAGAAACCCTGTCTCGAAAAAAACAAAAACAAAAAAACCAAAACACATAATGTTCCTTCCAGAATTTCTAGAACTCAGGTAAAAAGTGGGACACCTGACCTTTTGCCTTTATGCTGTGTTCATCTTTGTGCACATTTCATGTCTGTACTCTACACAGTTTCCCCATCTTAGTTCCCTTTCAGGAAACCCTAAGAATCTGTGAGATGTGATAGTTATCAGATCTTTGAACACCCAGCGAGGATGCCTACATGGGATGTAACTTGGCTGACACTAAACAGACTCTGTTCTTTCCCAGTTTGTGGATTGTCCACACTTGCTACAGGAGGACGCATATTTGGAGGGCAGCACGCAAAGCCTGGCAACTTTCCTTGGCAAGTCTTATTACTGGGTGAAACTATGGCAGCAGGTGCTCTTTTACACGACAACTGGGTTCTAACAGCTGCTCATGCTGTGTATGGGATAGCAGAGGCAGTGTCTTCTCTGGACATTCGCATGGGCATCCTCAAAAGGCTGTCACCTGACTACACCCAAGCCTGGGCTGAGGCTGTCTTTATACACGAAGGTTACAATCACGGTGCTGGCTTTGACAACGATATAGCACTGATTAAACTCAAGAACAAGGTTACAGTCAATAGAAGCATCATGCCTGTTTGCCTGCCAAGAAAAGAAGCTGCACCCTTGATGAGAACAGACAGCATGGGAACTGTGGCTGGCTGGGGGTTAACCCAGAAGGGGTGGCTTGCTAGAAACCTCATGTTTGTGGACATACCAATTGTCGACCATCAAAAATGTACTTCTGCATATGAAAAGCAGCTGTACCCAGGAGGGAGAGTAACTGCTAACATGCTCTGTGCTGGCTTAGAAACTGGTGGCAAGGACAGCTGCAGAGGGGACAGTGGAGGGGCATTAGTATTTCTAGACAATGAAACACAGCGTTGGTTTGTGGGAGGAGTAGTTTCCTGGGGTTCCATTCATTGTGGGGAGGCAGACCAGTATGGAGTCTATACAAAAGTCATAAACTATATTCCCTGGATTGAGAACATAATAAGAAAATTTTAAGTTGTATGCCTCCAATCAGTAAATTATTCCTTGTTTTTACAAGTACCTGGAAAAGCTCTTAGTCACAGAACCCAAGAAGCATCAATGGCCCACTTCAAACATCAAAAGATCAAACTATAGGCACATGACACTCACCAGTGAAAACTCTGTCCATTCATCTTTGCCACCCCACCCCAACTCCCCTCCTCAAGTTGTATTTGATTCACTACAACCCACTTAGTATTTCATACTGGCTGTTCCCATTTCTCAACAGGGACTGGCTGTTGATTTTTCTAGTGTGTTTAGATGTTTTAACGAGTTCTGAAAGTGCTCTTACAGATTACAACAGTATTGGTTCCAAAATATCTGATCACTTCTCTTTTTAAAGGTTAAATTGAAAGCAGGTATGTGACTTTTCCTATTTAAAAATCAATGCCATAAAACAATGTTGGTTGTCCATTTCCAGAATACTGGGATTATAGGCATATCCTACCACATTTCATTTACCAAATTGTCAGATAAAAAGAACATGGAATAGTATTTTACCCCTCAAAAGGGTGATTCAGCAATCCATTTCAAAAGCCTTAAAAATTGCATAATGTAGCAGACAGCCCAACCTTTCTTTTGCTTCCACCAGTTAAATGCTGAGGGATTACAGGGTGTGATACCATACCTCATTGTATCTGGTACTAGCAATCAATCCCAGGAATTTGGACATACTAGCTGGGTAAGCCAACTAAGATACATTCTGATCTCACCCTCCTCCCTCACCTTGGGGATAACTGTGTTGTCTAGGCTGACCTGAAATTTACCATCCTGCCTTGGCTTCCCAAGTGGTGGTTATGAAATGTGTGCCACTATACATGGACAGTGGTGAGCCAAATAGATCACAGATGGCACAACAGCAGAAACTACACAGGAGAACCATTCTCACATACAACAGATTCACCCTGAAATAACTCTCCTAACACTGCCTTAATTTTAAAATGTCACATTTGGTTCTACTAGGCTTTTCCAAGTTTTTGAGATAGGGTCTCACCACAACTGGCCTACAACTTAGTTTCTGGGATTTAAGGCATGTGCCACCACTCCCACCTGGAGACTCACATTTTTAAAGGCTGAAAATGCTATATACTGTGTCTTCCCACAGAAGTCACTGTTTAGCTTTCTAGCATTTTTGTCATGAAACATGTTTTTTTCCATTAAGACTCCAGACACTAAACTGTTGGTGGCAAGAGAACTTTTTATTTAACTGTGGTTCAAAGATTTCTTTTAAGAATGAATGCATTTTGTGACCAAATACTTTCAAAACCAAATCTATGCCAAGTAGTTTATTTCTAAAACTTCATTTAGGGCAAACAACTATCCACAGCTACGTCATACCATAAACATGTTAAAAGGCTACTCAGCACTGGAAGCCTTCCATGACCAGTGACTCTTAGCAAGTGCAAACAAGGGGCCAAAACCATGCCATGGACAAGTAACTTACCCCAGGGCTCCTGGACGGCTTGCCACTTTAGTCTTTGGAGGTCCCCGAAAACCATTTTAATGTTACCATGTTACTGCTGCTGAGTAATAGTGCAAGTGCTAAAATGCAAAATTCAGATGTACAGGGTTTGGAAATCATGCAGATTTAGATGCAGAGAAAAAATTTTTTACAATAACCCAAGATCCTTTTACAGAGGATACTGAATAAGAAACACTGTGTTCATAACAAGTCTCTAAAGGATATAAATTTTTAAAACATGCAACTTGCAAAATGACAAACCTATTTATCATAATCTAATTCAGGTAAGGGCATTAGGAAAACCACCAACACAAAAATGGTCACGTTTCCAGTTAGAAAAGGAGCTCCCCAGTCCTCAGTAATTACAGGAAAAGTACAACAATCAAGGTTTCATTATTGCTTTTACATTCTTACAATGCACTGTGAAGTCTACTGACTTTGTGAGCATCATGGTATGCCCCACACCCTAGAGAGTTAAGAGCCCACCTCACTCAAGACAGCCACAGGCAGACAACCCTCCCCACTAGTTCTTAAAGCTATCAGGCTTCTTAAAGATTTCAGGCACACGGTTTCTTGTTTCTTCTACTTCATCCCTATTGCAATTAATTCCACTTTTCAAAGCCCCAACAGAAAGATGCTTATCCCCTCGTTTCCATGGATACAGTCTGCTACAAAGCATTTGAAAACAACTGTTTTGTCCCTTCTCCCAAATAGTACTTTTAGAAGGCATGATTTCCCAATGGACATTTCTACATCCATGTCACTAGAAAAATCACTCAAATGCACAGAGGCACTCAGAACAAGCTGGAGGGTAACTGCTTACCATTTTAAGTTCTGTCACCCAGACTTATGAAAAACTAGATTAAAAACAAAACAACCCATGGAAAAACTTTCACTTTGGACAATGCAAGAACAAATAGCAATTAAGTCTGGGTATCAGGTGTCAATGCATGACAGGTGATGAATCCATTTGACTTGAGACAACTTTTCAAATAAGTTTATTTGAAGCAAAATAAACTACTGCCAAGAAACTTTATGAAAGTTCCATCTCAAAAGGGTCAAAAAGGGGAATTAACTGCTATGAATTCTTTGCATTCAGGGCTGCAAAACAAAGACACATATTATTTAAATCAGTTTTATTTAAGAATTTCCAACAATGACAACTCTTATAAAAAGCATCCAAGCACAGGACACAGAACTGCAGCAAACAGCATTCTTATGGTTGCTAACAGACATGAGAACGTCCACCCTTTGAGACACCTGAGCTCACTGGTGAACTCTGCTTCCAAGTTCTCCTGCAAAGCACACCACAAGCTCAGTCCATGTTCGCAGCCCATCAGCTTCAGTTCACGTGCCCACACTTCCAGATCAGTAACAGAGGAGAACACACACCATACAGCATTCACAGCAGTTGACAGAGGGGAGGGAAGTACAAGTATTTCACTTAACACATTCAACTAAAGTGGGTTTTCTAAGAACAAAACTCAAAGTCTTCCAACAGATGTGGATGTCCTTTGATGCAAAAACATTCGTACGTTATTGGCTATCATTGCTCTCTGCACACTCTCTCACCAAAGCCACAGGATTGGGTGACACATCTCTCCAAGTTAAAAAATATCCATTTTGCACCACCAAGTCTCTGCACGCGCTCTCTCCTTTCCTCGCTCATACTAGCCTTTCATGCCTCGGCACCACCATCAATCCCACACAAGGTTTCAAAAGTTCAAACAGCCTTCTGGTTCCATATCACAGCCTTGCGTTCATAGCGTTGATACGATTCCATGAAATAAAGAGTAGCGGATAAAAATGGAACACCCACCGTCAAAGACGCAGCCTGTGCAGCGTGATGACGAGTTCTTGGATGAGAAAGCATGTAGACAGAAGTATTCCTATGGCAGAATATTTACAGCACTACTTTCAATGAAGTGCTTCTTCCATAAACATTTGAAATGAGATGAACTGCAGAGATTAAATGAAGGCTTCATATTGTACTTTCGTATATGAAGGAAGACAAGTGTTAAAAACAAAACCAAAACCAAACACCATGACATCATGATCTCCCAAATGGAGATTTTCCTAAGGAAAAAATTCATAGGGTGGGATTCAAATTAAAATGAGAAAAGGATGTAGTTCTAACCAATGGTTTCTACTCTGAACATGCAAAGAATCCATTTAACAAGTCCAATGACAGATTATTACAGAGAAACCTTCTGAGATCAATTGTAGTGTTGGTTTACCAATTAGGCAAACAGTTCACTTTCACCCACTCAGTATTTTAACCCTTTATATAACAAAACTTATAAAATTCATTTAGCTTTTCCTCTTTTTCTAAAGAAAAATGTCAAAAATACTGCTGAATATACTCCACACTGAACAAACCAATCTGAAAATTTTTAGTACATATGTATTTTACAATATACTTACCATGAGTTTAGAAAAATTTGAATCCCACCATTCTAGACCTACCTACCTATCAACCGACCCACCAACCTATCACCAACCCACTGCCTACATGCCCCAGCCAGAGGATTTAGAATCCATGCTTGAACCAAAGCCACCATTAAAACCACTGCCTGACCCTGCATTTGATGCCGATCCCCATCCAAGAGGAGCACCAGAGTTAGAACCACTGTAGGAATTATTCCCAGAACCAAAAGCCTGATTTGGTTCCCTCTGCATGCTGCCCTGGCTTTGGTTATTACCAGATGGACCCGACTGGTTCTGCTGGCTGGCTAACATGCCCATCATACCCCAACTACTCTGCAGTGCTGCCTGAGCTGCAGCCATCATTGCTGGATTAATGCTAAAAGCTCCAAAGTTCATTCCACCACCCATGTTACCACCCTGGTTATTTCCCAAGCCAGCTCCACCCCCTCTACTGTTGCCAAACCCACCCTGATTCCCAAAGCCACCTGGATTACCACCAAATCTTCCACTTCTTTCTAACTGTCTATTGCTATTATGTTTAGGTTCAGCATTGGATATATGCACGCTGATTCCTTTAATGATCAAATCCTCTCCACAAAGGGACTGGGCAACCTACAAGAAACAAGGGATGTAAAAGGTAATTAAACCACCAACTCATACACCAAAACAGCAATAAAACCAAAATCTTAGTATAACCCATCTAAGCAGAAGAAAAAGCAAGCAATGCTAATTCCACTTTGGTAATATCATCAACATTTGCAATTAAAAAATATGAACAAAGTAACTGAAGGGCACGGCATGACTATCTATAAACCCCCATAACTCTACCCAGAGAGGGTAGTCACCATTTTCTGGGCTGGAGACTGAGCTCAGCACTTGGTGTGCTACGTTCGACACATATGGGAGCACAGAACCAGATAAATACCCAGCCCTGGAACAAATGAAGAAAAATACCTTATCATCTGCAAAGGTAACAAAGGCAAAAGCCCTGAATGGTTTGGGAATGAAGACATCTACCACTTCTCCATATTGGCAAAAGAACTGTTGAAGTTCTTCAGCAGTCATGTCTTCTGTACAACGCCCAACAAACACCTTTCTGCTTCTCAAAGGCTCATCTGGGCTTTGCTGGTCAAAAGGAAGAGTAGAAATAAATACATAAAGGTGTACTCTGTTACTGTGCCACCCCCACCCGTGTCTTGCTCTTTGAGACAAAGTCTCACTGTCTATCTCTGGATGGCCTGTGCCTCTGAGTGATCTCAAAAGAGTGTGCTTCGTGCCTTCATGTGTTTATGTGAACAAAGTACATGTCTGGTGCCCTTTAGAGTCAGAAGAGTCACTCAGAACTGAGGTTGTGTGCTACCACATGGGTGCTGAAAACTGAACCAGCCGTCTCCAAAAACAAGTAATTACTAATTAACCAATTTCTCCGCCTTATTTCCTGGATTTTAAAACAGGCTTTTGGCTGGGCGTTGGTGGCGCACACCTTTAATCCCAGCACTTGGGAGGCAGAGGCAGGCGGATCTGAGTTCGAGGCCAGGCTGGTCTACAGAGCGAGTTCTAGGACAGCTTCCAAAACAATAGAGAAACCCTGTCTCAAAAAACCAAATAAATAAATAAATAAATAAAACAAACAGGCTCTCCTGTACCCCAGGATGGCCTTAAGCTTGATATACGGGGACAATCTGAACTCCTGATCCTGTTACTTACTACCTCCCACAAGCTAGAGTTACAGGAATGCAACACCAAGAGTTTCAATTTCTTTTAGAAGAGACCATTATGTACATATTTGGGACAGAGGTTGACCCCAGTCATTCTCTACCTTCCTTTATGAGGCTGGGTCTCACCGAACTCTTATTTGGCTAACTAGATCAGTAGCCAGAAAGCTCCAAGAATTAGACTGCCTCTCCACCCAACTCCAGGGCGGGATTATAAACACATCCTACCACTCAGCTCCTTTAAAAAAACAAACCACACACACCTGGCTGGCTGGGAGTAGCAGCACAGGTCTTCATGCAGTGGCTAACCCCACCCAGCACATGGAAGGCAGAGGCAGACTGATCTGTGTTGCGTTTAAGGCCAGTCTGGTACAGAGCCAGGGCTTTGCAGAGACCCTGTCTCAAAATAAAAATGTGTGTTCCCAGATCAAATTCAAACCCTCATGTATAAGGGTAAGCACTTTATGGACTGACCTATTTTCCCCAGCCCAAGTAAAGTTTTAAATTTCGAAAGCATACTTTGACCCCAAACGAAATGTCCCAAATAATTAAGTCTCATTTGCTTGCTTGGAATAAGTGTGGGCTGGGGATAAAACTCAAGTGGGGTTAGCCGAGTGTTGGTGGCGCACGCCTTTAATCCCAGCACTCGGGAGGCAGAGGCAAGCGGATCTCTGTGAGTTCGAGGCCAGCCAGGTCTACAGAGCAGGATAGCCTTCAAAACAATACAGAGGAACCCTGTCTTGAAAACAAAACAACAACAACAAAAAATCTCAAGTGGGGTCAAGCACTTGCCCAGCAAAGCACTGGACACCAGGTTTCCCAGCACATTAAAACCGTGAGTGGTGGTGCACACCTCTCAGTCCCAGCACTCCAGATCTCTGAGTTCCAGAACAGCCTCCAAAGCTACAGAGAAACCCTGTCTTGAAAACTGGAAACTAACACTCCTAAGATTAAGCTGGGTGGTGGGTAGCTCACACCTTTAATCCCAGCACCTGGAAAGCAGAGGCAGGTAGGTAGATACTGGAGTTTGAGGCCAGCCAAGGCTACAGACACACCTGCCTTGGAAAGCAAACTTTTCCTGCCGTCAACGTTTCCAAATTCACATAACAAAAAAAAATTACCCAGCATACAGGCAAAGATCAGAGTACCTTAGAATTGGGGAGTTTACAGTCACACCATCGCCCATCTATCATGTGTCGCTGGGACATCACTTTCACTTGGGTATCATATTCCGTAAATCGAACAAAGCCAAATCCCTTAGAGTGACCAGTTTTAAGATCTTTCTTGACCTAAGAAAAGATAACTGAAATTTATTCTAATACCACACATACACCAAATCAGTTCACATAAACTTGAATGGCTTCAACTGAATGAAAGAGCACATTAAAGTTAATAAGTTAGTTCAAGGCAAAATCAATAGGGAATCGCATCATTAACAGTAGAGAACGAATGACCCACACAGAACTTAACAATGTTTTACAATGAGCACAAATATAAGTTCTAATATGACCTATTTCCTTTAAACCAGTAATCCTCAACTTTCCTATTGCTTTCACCTTTAATAAAGTTCTCAATGTTATGGTGCCCCCCCCAACCATTAGTTTTGGTGTTACTTCCTAATAAGGTTCACTACTGTTAGGATCCACACATATAGAAAGAAAGCTGCTACCCAGAATCAAGTTTACCTGAACCATAAGAACTTCTCCAAAAGTACTGAAATAGTCTTTAAGATCTTGTTCTGTTGTTTTCCAAGGGAGACCCAACACTATTAGATCAGATGTTTTCTGGACTGCTCTTTTCACTTTCACTGCTGAGGAAGCATCTGTCTCATCCATTTTCCTTTTGTTATCTAAACAAAGCAAGCAGAAATCCGTATTTAGCAGTTAATAGGTGGAGCCCTGTGAGTTCAAGGCCAGCCTGGTCTGCAAGCTGTTCCAGGACAATCGGGGTTACACAAAGAAACCCTGTCTCGACCCCACCCCCACTCTAGTTTTATTCATATTATCTTATAATTTCCCAGTATAGCATTTGTAAAGTTTCTGGCCTTCTGTCCTGTTAGGAAGGGTGTTTTTTTGGGAAGGCTACACACCACTGCAATTGGCTTTTTTAACGAGACTGTTTCTCTGTATTGTTTGAGACTATCTGTCCATCCCAGCCTCGAACTCAGAGATCCACCTGCCTCTGCCTCCAGAGTGCTGGGATTAAAGGCGTGCGCCACCTTTTAAGTGGGTTCTAGAGAGTAGGCTGCTTGTCTTGTTCTGTAAGTGTCTTTACTGATATCAGCTATCTCCCTGGCCCAGGACTTGAATAATGTAGGATTGTAAAATCAACTGCATGTCCTCAAAACCTGCATCCAAATCAATGCAATTCAATTCTACTTCCTTTTAATTTTGTGGCATTGAATATATCTGACTGATCCAGGGGACCAGACATCCTCTTGTGATGCACAGAAAAATATGCAATATGTACTTACCAATATATATATAGAAAGAAAAAATAGCATCGTTTATTTCCACATATAAACTCGGGTGCTTTGGTCTTGTCCAGACTTTCAGCAATACTGCTTGCTTACAGAAATGGGTCTCATTATGCCACCAAAACCGGTTTCAAAGAATCTCTTCTGCCCCACACTCCTGCAGTTGCTGGCTGTGTGCCACCTCAGTCACCTAAATGTAGGCAAGCATTCTACTACATTCTATCTCCAGTCCCGTTCATTTCTTTTTTTTTTTTTTTGGTTTTTCGAGACAGGGTTTCTCTGTGGCTTTGGAGGTTGTCCTGAACTAGCTCTTGTAGACCAGACTGGTTTTGAACTCAGAGATCCACCTGCTTCGGCTTCCTTAAGTGCTGGGATAAGAATGTGCGCCATCAACGCCAGGCTTCCTCCCAAATTTGGTGAACTGACTATGGTTGTTTGAGATGGCTTGCTATATATAAATCAGGTTGGTACAAAACTCATAGCCCAGACTGGCCTCAAACTCTCAATTTTTCGGCCTCACCCCCCAATGCTGGGGATTATAGGTACATGCAGCACTTTGTCAGCAACATCATTAAGTAAAATCAACAATGCACCAATTCCCATGCAATCACTCTTTTCAAGAGATCCACTTGCCTTAGCTTCCTGGAGTGCTGGGATCAAAGGTGTGCAACCATATGGTGGCAGTGAACACCTTTAATCCCAGTATTTGGGAGGCAGATCCCTATGAGTTCAAGGCCAACCTAGTCTACAGAACTCCAAAACTAGAGATACCATGCCTTGAAAAACCCAAAAAGAACAGCAGGAGCAAGAGGCAAAGAGAATAAGACCAGAACCTTATCTCAGGTCAGATGTCCCTTTGCACCAGGCACACATGGAGCTGACCTAAGAAAGCCTGGCTTAGTGGCAAACACCTTTGAGCCCAGTTACAGACAGTTACAAGCTGTCCTGTGGGTGCTGGGAATTGAACCAGGTCCTCTGGAAGAGCAGCTACTGAGCCATTTCTCCAGTCCCCAAGGCATTTAGTTTTAACAGCCTAAATCTGGTATCAAAATTGTCAATGAGTGTTCCAATGGCTAAACATTTAAACAGCGAATCCTAAAAAAGAGTCCTGTAATTTTCAATCGTGACTTCCCTAGACTGGGGACCTGCAGAGTGGTCTAAGCAAAGTTTGAAAGAACCGGACATTCTGCCATGAAGGCCATACCCCAGGGATGGAGCTCACAGACTACTTGTCTGGCAAACATGAAGCTCTGCACTGGCACCACCCGCCACAAATAACCATTTACAACTTAGGATGGCACACAAGCCCAACTGTAGTCAACAATATGGCAAAAGCCAAAGTGATTCACAAACCTTTGGGATAGTTGACAACATACACCAGATTGCCCCAGCCAGCATCCGGGGCATGCAGAATTCCTTCCACTAGCCGGACACCCCTCATGCACTGAGACACTGGATTCCGGTATCGTAGGCCACATGCCCCTGGAAACTGGGCTGTAACTGTGGACAGCAACACCGTTCCATCATCTTCTGATGGTATTTCAATGGGCTCATCATTCTCGTCTTCGGTTACCCGAATGTACTCAGACATCTTTAATTTTCTAAAGGAAAGAGAGACAAAAACAAATGACCAAAAGAAGAGCAATAATCTCTTTACAGTTAGGTACCACACAGCCCTAGTCCCACTTCCTAAGACCTAATGTTTCATATGCCATCGCTGAAAAAAAAATCGAGGAAAAGGAGGCAGTTTCCTGAAATATAAACGAATTTTTAATTTTTTTTTGCCAATTCACATATCTCTCGGGGCTTACTATATGCTTCGGGTGCTAGAACGCCAAACAGTACCACCACGTGGCCGGTCGGTTACAGAACCGGACAGAAACAAAGTATCACACAGAACTAAGTGACTCTGTCCAGACTGTTCCTCTTGCAAACACCCTTCTCTCACCTGGAACGCAAAGATTACAGACTGCACTTATCTCCTCGCCACCCCCACGCCCGCCCCGGATTCATCTATTCCAAGGTCTGGGGAGCTACCCCGGGTCCGGCACGTGCTTTAAGCGGGTGGAGCGAGGGCAACAATTGACTCTCATCTTGTGCCGGGGAAGCACGGGAACCGACGGCGGCGAGCACCGAGGCCCGGCCCTTCTCCGTCCCTCATTTTCGGGAAGGGGGCCGCTAAGCTCGGGCGTCGAGGGCAGCGACGACAGATGCCCCGCGCGATGTAGGCCACCACTTCCCAGAAGGCCATGCGCGACGGGCGACGTTGATTCCTCTCCCCCCCGCCCCCACCTCCAACTCGGCCTGGGGTGGGGCCGCCGGAGTACAAGGCCCATGGTGGCGACGGTTGCTCTCGGATGCGAAGACCCGAAGGGACGAAGACTGCTGGGGGGGAGGTCCCCCCGGGGCCGCGACAAACTTCCGCCCACGGCTTCACGGCCCGGCAGGCTCGGCCCTAACGACGCGGCGGCGCGAGGCGGACTAGGCTCCCCCCGCTCCATAGCTTCCCTTCCCGCGGCGCAGGCCGCCTCGGGCCTCCCACGGAGCGACAGCCGACGCACGGAAGCCGCCCTCGGCTGGCAACTCACCCGCTAGGACGCTGCTAGGAAGCACGGAGAGGAAGCCGACGCAGCGAGGAAGCCGAGAGAGCCGCCGAGCTACCGCTTCGTGCCCACAAAATGGCGCTAGGGCCGCCTCCCGCCCCCGCCCGCCTTCGGCCTCTCCCACCTGCTCCCCGCCGGGAGGGGAGCTCGCCCAGCGGAGCCGCGGACGCTCGCTCCTCGAGGCCGCTCGGACCCCAGCAGGCGCCTGGGCACACACAAAGGGAGTTGGAGAACACACAAGGGAGAGTGGCCGTGCCTGAGAAGCGGGCAACGGAGGGGACAGTGCGGCCACGTACGCCTTCGCTTCCCCCCACGTGGCGTGGCAGGTGGATCCGTCCGACCAACCGCCGGCCCTCGCTGAGGGGCTCGCGCTCACTGAAAGCGCGCGAGACTAGCGTGGGCCGGGAAGTGCGAGGCGGTCCGGCGCGAGTGGGGCGGGGCTACGGGGAAAGGGGCGGGGCGGAGCCAGGAGGAAGGCGGGGTTCGAGCGGGTCCGGGAGGGTGGAGAGTGAGGACCGCCCGGGAGCCCTGGCTTCCCGGTTTTTCTGCCATTACTCGGTCATTTCCATATGTGGGAACACTAACTTTGGTCTACAAAATGGTAGCTGTCCCAAGTACTGCTTTGTGTCAGGCACCTTTTTGCCCCTCTCTGGCTCTAAAAACAAAAAACAAACAAAAAAACTCTTGTGAATGGCAGACAAGTGTTTTACCATTGACCTTGGACTGTGCTTGCTGTTCCTTGGAGTTTCAGAGCAAGGGATCGTCTTTGCCACCAAGTACTAGATTAGAGACAGGGACCTCAAAGTCACTGTGTAGCCCAGGCTGTCCTTTAACTCATCACGGCTCCCCCTCCCCCATCCCCAGCCTCCTAAGCTGCCCCTAGCAGTCTGACGTGATTCTTGTTGCGTTACTATCCTCTTCGCTAAATGAGGAAACAGGCACAAAGCAATTAAGTGTCTTGCATGAAGTCACCAAGAGAGTTAAGTATTCTCCTAGGATTTGATCCTACGAGGAAAATACTTGAAGTTTCTGTCTCTCGGGCTCCAGTTGATGACGTGTCCTACTTTATCTACCTTTGTAAAGGCTGATGGCTGGCTCTACCTCCAGGTTGCCAGCTGGAGCTCCTTTAGCCAGGATTTAAATTCCTTGGTGCATATGTGTATCAGATCCAAAGGTTTAGCACTGTGACAGGGTTTACACAGTTTTGCAGAACAGGATGGCCTTGAACTTGCAGCGGTTCCCTTCCCTCTGCCTCTTGGGGCTGGATTTAGGGAGATGCCATCATGCCAGGCCGAGTCTTGCTACTTTAAATTTATGTATGAACCCATTCCCACTTTGCTACCCTTCTAAGGAGACGCCATTGTGAGAATGGCGACGAACGCCTGGCCCCCAATCCCTTATAGCCAGGCTGGCCTGGAGCTCCTGGACAATCCTGCCTCAGCCTACTGAGTGCTGGGTTGTAGGCATGAGTCCTTTCACCTAGTATTACTTATTTTGTTTTTCGAGACAGGGTTTTCTCTGCAAAGCCCTGGCTGGCCTGGAACTCACTCCCTCTGTAGACCAGGCTGGCCTTAAACTCACAGAGATCCTCCTGCCTCTGCCTCCCGAGTGGTGTGCATCACCACCACCACCCAACCCCGCCCCCAGAGCATTTCTTTGAGACAGGCTTGGCAGGAACACTTTAATTCCAACACTCAGGAGGCAAAGGCAGTCTTTTTTTTTATCATTTTTTTATTTTAATTTTAAATAGCTTGTTTTACATGTCAATCCCAGTTCCCTCTCCCTCCCCTCTTCCCGCACTCCCCTCCCCCCCTCCCTCCCACCCTATTGCCAAATCCTTCCACATAGGGGATATCTAGAGTCTGTCATTTTACTCTTGGTAGGAGGCAAAGGCAGTCTTGCCTCATTATTTATTTCTAAACTTGTTGTCAAATATTAGTTAAAGGTGTGTTACTTTTGTTTAACCTGTGGAATATTTGTTTAATGATGCTAAGATGTGTTGCATTCGTTTAACTCTGTGAAGCTGTGTTACTTTGCCTGTCTAAAACACCTGATTGGTCTAGTTAAGAGTTGAATGGGCAATAGCTAGGCAGGAGAAAGGATAGGCAGGGGTTGGCAGACGGAGAGAATAAACAGGAGAGATCTGGGGAGAAAAGGAGAGGACATCAGGGGCCAGCTATACAGCAAGGCATGGAGAAGGAAAGAAAGGAAGGAAGGAAGGAAGGACGGAAGGAAGCTGAGCGGAGGTGGCGCACGCCTTTGATCCCAGCACTCGGGAGGCAGAGGCAGGCAGATCTCTGTGAGTTTGAGGCCAGCCTGGTCTACAGAGCGAGTGCCAGGACAGCCTCCAAAGCCACAGAGAAACCCTGTCTCAAAATAAACCAAAACCAACCAACCAACCAAACAAACAAAAAAGAAAGGTATATACAATAGAGAAATATAGAAGAAAGGTATACACAATAGAGAAAGGTATACACAATAGAGAAAGGTATACACAATAAAGGTATACACAGTAGAGAAAGGTATACACAATAGAGAAAGGTATACACAATAGAGAAAGGTATACACAATAGAGAAATACAGAAGCCCAGAGACATCAGATAGAGTGTGGTGAGATAGCCGCCCCACCCGCACCTGTAGCACTGACCACACTGGTCTGGGCATAGTCACTGGATGGAGAGTGTAGCACTGACCACACTGGTCTGGGCATAGTCACTGGATGGAGAGTGTAGCACTGACCACACTGGTCTGGGCATAGTCACTGGATGGAGAGTGTAGCACTGACCACACTGGTCTGGGCATAGTCACTTGATGGAGAGTGGGTTTAGGTCTGGGGTCGGGGGACAGGTGGTCTCTCTGTAGCTTCTGGTCAGGCCACGGAGAGCGGCCTGGGTGGATCCTTGGAGAGGGAAACCTTGGCAGTCATCTGTTTCATGCATAAGTGCATTCCTCCTGAATAAACTTATATTTAACCTATGAGAACCTAGCCCCATGGATCTTGATCTGTACATGTAGAAGATGGATAATTTAAGTTAAGGCTGGGCATTCATAAATAAGAATAAGTCTCCGTGTGATTTACTTGGGAACTGGGTAGCAGCAGGTCCCCAAAGAGTAAAGAGTAAGAGAAAAAAACAAAACATAGAGTTGATTGCAAAAAGGTGATTTTCTGATTCTATCTGTTTTTGTTTTTCAAGACAGGGTTACTTTGAGTAGCCCTGACTGTCCTTGAACTCACTCTATATCTGGCTGACCTTGAACTCAGAGATCTGGCTCCCAAAGTGCTGGGATTAAAGGCATGGGCCACCACACCCAGTTACTGATTCCAACATTAATTTATTGTGGTGTTGTGTCGTGTCTCAAGCCACATGCTCTATCACTGAGCTATGTCCCACACACACAACAAATTGTATAATTCCCTTTTGTTGTTGTTGTTTTTGTTTTTTGAGACAGGATTTCTCTATATAACAGCCCGGGCTGTCCCAGAACTCTATTTGTAGACCAGGCTGGCCTCAAACTCACAGAGATCCATCCACCTGCCTATGCTCCCCAGTCATTCACCACATCACTTCCTGCACTGCCTGACTTTGTTTAGTTTTTTTTTTTAAGAGTTATTTTTAGCCAGGCGTTGGTGGCGCACGCCTTTATTCCCAGCATTCGGGAGGCAGAGGCAGGCGGATCTCTGTGAGTTCGAGACCAGCCTGGTCTACAAGAGCTAGTTCCAGGACAGCCTCCAAAGCCACAGAGAAACCCTGTCTCGAAAAACCAAAAAAAAAAAAAAGTTATTTTTGTTGCTGGGTAATGGTGGTACATACCTTTGATCACAGCACTGGAGAGAAAGAGATAGGTGGATTTCTAAATTCAAGGACAGCATGGTCTGCAGAGTGATTTCCAGGACAGCCATGACTACACAGATAAACCCTGGATCAAAAAACCAAAACCAAAACTGAACAAATTCAAACATAAAAAGCACTTGAGCCAGGCGTTGGTGGTGCACACCTTGAATCCCAGCACTCAGGAGGCAGACGCAGGTGGATCTCTGGGAGTTCAAGACCAGCCTGGTCTACAGATCAAGTTCCAGGACAGGCTCCAAAGCAATAATACAGAGAAACCCTGTCTCTAAAAACCAAACCAATCAATCAACCAAACAAAAAAAATTGAAGTAATACTACAATGCATACCAGCATAGCTGCCACTCATATTTAACTTTTAGATCTTGGGGGTATTTATGCTCACAGATAAGCACTAGAGGAATCTGGAATGTAATGCCACAAAGTTGTTAACTTCAAGGGAAGGAATGCAAGACCTGCTATCCACCCAGAAGGCTAGAAATGGACATGCTTCGTAGCCTGGTGACCTTTGCACTATCTGTGAGACCACACCAGACCTTCTCCCAGACCCTTATGAGCTTGTTTTCTTTCTCAGGTTACTATAGAACCTATCTTTAACTTGAATTTTTTAAAAAAAAGTTTTATTTATCATGTACACAGTGTTCTGTCTGTATGCCTGCCCACCAGTAGAGTGCGCCAGATCTCATTATGAATGGATGTGAGCTACCATGTGGTCGCTGGGAATTGAACTCGGGACCTCTGGAAGAGCAGCTACTGCTCTTAAGCACCAAGCCATCTCTCCAGCCCTAGAACCTATCTTTATGGAAGGTGTCACATGTACTTTACAGAGAGTTCTGATGTAGTCACGTCTGATCTTCAGCTTACTTTGTTCTTCAGAGATTTATGTATGCTTTGTTGTATATATGAGACTGCATTAATTAACACCAGAAAATATTTCACCGAATTGGGCTGTGCTTAACTATGCCTAAAATAAACCACCCACCTCGAGCTGTGTCAAACCGAACTGCCTTCTTGCTCCCCTAGGACCACCTCCCTGCTGGCTGTGGAGGTCACAGAGACCCCTGCAGTAACTGGCTAATATTTTGTAATATCTGCTTATGAGTGTGTATAGCCAGCTTGTGCCCAACCCAAGGCACTTGAAAGTAAGATGTTCATATTGCAGCGTCCAGTCCTCTTCTCCCCCCCAAACGAGGTGATTCTCCTGCATGGCTTTGGTATCCAGCAGTCGGCCTTGGTGGTACAGGCTGGAACCACAGCTACTCAGGAGGCTGAGGCGG